AGAAGATTTCCTATGATTATCATTAAAAATGATTTTCATTTTGAATACATATTAACAAAAGAAACCTAGACAGGTTCTACTCATCATAAAATCTTAATCGACCATAATTCATGTTTAATTAGAGGAATAAACGATCAGTCGCAGCCGTATATCTCATTTTTTGAAAAACGGACTTGATTCAAAGAGTTTAAAGAGTTGTGACGTCGCATATTCGAGAATTATTACACTTTTAAAATTATCTTGACAAAGCAACCTTACTATTCCCGAACAATCAGGGAAATTGATGTTATGAAAAAATTGATCCTCTTTCTAAAGTGTATTCAGCAAGTTTAATAGCATAACCAAACTGCTATATGTTTCGGCTCACCCCGTACCACGACTATACGAAAAACGATAATTCATTTAAAATGATACCATCCTACACAGCTCCTAAAATTTTTAGGGTCGTACAACTGCATATGGATCCTAGCTCACGCTATAACAAGCAAATAACGCCATGTTTGCATTCACAAGTCCTTTACTGAATAGGTGTTGTTAGGTCAAATGTGTAATTAAGATTTCTATTTAGCTCAAGAACCGAATCACTTCACAGTTTCGCAAAAAACCATAAATCTCACTTACTACACTTAGGACAAACTATTTAAATCAACGCCTAGTCGTTCGTCGGCCTCCCTTCGGTCGGCCACTCACGGCTAGCCGTTACCATATATGATATATTTTTCTATCTATCATCTGTTACATTAGGATTTTTCACGTGCACCAAAACTATTTCACTCATAACATATCGACTCGCAATCGAAAACTTCCAACTTTTAGATAGTACTATGTATTGTTCATCATGGTTTCCAATTTCTTCGTCTTCTGACACAACGATATGCTGCCGGATTCTTTCTCACATTAGTACTCATTAAGTGCTCTCAAAGAACCATTTGAACTAACTAAGACTCATTACAAAGCTGTGCTTTAAAACAACCTTTAAAATTAACGTCTACCTGTTCGTCGGCCTCCCTTCGATCGGCCACTCACCGCTAGCCGTTTCCATGTTTAACCCTACTATTTCCTCCACTATTAGATTAGCTTTGAAGTGAAGAGGTGCAGTTTGTGTGAATTTTTCTTAGAAGGATACTGAGTATTTGATACTATGATTCTCAAGAAGAAACTAAGAAAAGGAGAACTGTGTTGAAAACTGTTACGAATACAGTATATTAGATTGTCCCATAGGAAGGATCTTGATTTGTTTTGAATTTTATTGCACAGTTGGTATCAACGACAACTCAACTGCAGGATTTTCAACAGCTGTTCCCTTTTTTAAAACTATTTATTTAAATTTTACCAAAAAGTCCGATTATAGCTATCAACTAGGAACCGGCTGGATAGGGTATTCTTATCTCGATCGCGATCTCGCTTACTAAAGTTGGTGGTCGTTCTCGTCCCGTTTAAACCGGATTTTTTTCAATCTGCCAGAAATAGTTTTTAAGCACATGTCGAACAAGTGAATACTCACACCCACCGTATCCAATATACTTTCTTCGTAAAATACATATCCTTTATGTAAAAAAATGAAGGATAAAAAATTTTTAAAAAATCAAGCTCGGATTCGGATTCCGCGACCCGTATTACCTGTGATCAAACTATATGAAAAAAAATTTTTTTCGTAAAAAAGTGGTTCATTATATAAAAAAAATGAAGGATAAGAAAATCTTAAAAAACTAACCTCGGATTCGAAATCCGTGCATCAAAATATCTCTAAAAATATATTTTTCGAAAAACCGATATTCGATGTTTTTTTGACCTTTCACCCACCCACCAGCTTATTCACCCATCCCCTTCACCCTAGTCACCCAACAGACCTGGGATTCAAAATCCCTGCATCAAAATATCTCTAAAAATATGTTTTTCGAAAAATCAATATTCGATGTTTTTTTGACCTTTCACCCACCCACCAACTTATTCACCCATCCCCTTCACCATAGTAACTCAACAGACCTCGAATTCGAAATCCCTGCAGCAAAATCCCTCTAAAAAAATGGACTTCAAAAACTTTGCTGCAATCTGATTCGTTTGGACAGAATGACAGAATGAATGACAGAATGAATGACAAACTTTATGCATTTTAGGCCCATGATTTAAACGTGATAAAACCCTTTCTTTCAGAAAAGGGAATAAAATATATATGTATATATATATATAAATAGAAGGTTCATCACTCTTAGATAACTGTAAATTTGTAAAATTTACTGAATAAAAAGATGTTTAGTTAGACAGTTGTAACATTGTTTAATATATTTTTATGCTAAAAAAATTAAATTCGATCTCAATACATTTACACAAAGTTATTTTATGATAAATCCATTTTTTCGTGTGTTATTCATATACAAAACTTGTTCTTGACAATGGTAGTATAATCCCACCGAGACTTCAAAACTTATTCATCTGAATAAATAAATAAAGATTTAATATTTTCTATTTTATTTATAAAATGATAACACAAACCGCTATCACTTTTCAGTTTTTATTTCGAATTTTGCCCTTAAAATCTTCAAATGTTTATCATTAAATTAAGTTTATTTACACATCAAATGAATGGCAAAGCTCTAAATGATGTGAAATTCAAACTTAACATTTTCTCATAAAGTTTGTCTTCGGGTATTTTTAGGGCCCATAATAAGTTCTAGGAACAATATAAATAATTCAAATTATTCAAATTGTTTCATGTCGTTGTTCTCTTGTTTCCTTTAATAGCTGTTTATTATATACATAGAGTGTTTCTTCTTTTTTCCCTACGTTCCTGAAGATGATAAGAGTTTTTATCGAAAGCTCGAATAAAGGTTGGTTTTTCTTTTTTTTTGTCTAAAAATGTATAACGTTCTTTATAGCAGTTTTATGTTCAACCATTTATAAATTATATATGTTTTAATGATATTCATATGCGGCAGTTCTATTCAATAACCTGATTATCAACAACTTCCGGATAAATTATTACAAGAGAATCTTAACAACTCAGGTCGATGATTCCTGAAGCCATATTCCATGAATTTTCGGCGAAAACCGTCAGAAAACGAACCGTTTTTGACAGGAACCTTGTTGGAAAATGCCAAGAACTCGATCCTGGAATCGGTTCTAGGTAGAACCAAACGAATCCGTTCAATGGGAATACTGCTTCAAGGAAATCTCCGGAAGACTATGGAACCGACCGTTTTCATGCTGGATTGTTCGACCTGGATTATTATAAGAGAATCTTAACAAGATCGAAAAATTGCTCAATAAACTTACAAAAGATGAATATCTATGTTATCATTGTTTATCAATTCATTCATCTTTCGAAGAAATTATGGACATGACCAAAAAATTACAATATCAAGTTGCAAAAGAAACCACATATAAAAAAACGAGAAATGTATACAATATTCTTGCATTCTTGAGTATTATAATGGTGTTTGTGATCTTCGGTGGGCCTTTGTTGATCAGCATCACCTCTATAATTAACTCTTTCTTTATATGTGTATCTATGTTTTTGTCTAATTCAGTTATGATTTTTCTTGAAGGATTTATTGTTGTTACATCTGCAGTGATATTCTTGAAGATGTTCATAGTCTTAATTATGGTGATCAATAACTGTGATCGTCGTAAATGACAGTAAACAATTTCTGAGAATATAAAATGATTGTTTTTCTTTCTTCAAAAATAAAAATATTGAAAATTTATACTTCATTTTATTTTAGTTTTAGATAAAATTCGTCTTGCTTAATGTCATCTTGTTCTTACTAGGGTATGGGTGGGTGTAGGTGTTATTGAGGATATGTGATGAGCATAATACTCATAACCACAAACACGCACACACCCTCAGGATGGTCCCTTGTCTGCATAATACTGGCCAGTGGTCTCTTCTCAATAAAACATAAATCGCTGGCTGATATCTTGAGGGTGTAGGTGTGAGTATAAATTAAGTGAATAATACCAACATTCATCCACACCTACACCTTCAAGAATCCATGGGAGCTCAATGAAATCCATGGCGATGCTTGGAATTCTTTAGAATCTAAAACCACCCGATTGTGCTCTTTTTCCCTTGCAGCCGCCACACCAACACTCACCCTCAAAATTTTTCATTTATTCGAATGATTTCTCTTTCACCGAATCTTTCTGTTTTTCGAAGAGGTGTCTATTTTCCCTTAAGAAAAATTCATTCGTTTGTCAACATTTGTTTAAATTCGACGCATTTAAATCCATCTGAATTGTTTTTTCTTTTCCTCGCAAGAATATTTTTTCTTTATTGTTGATTTTGTATATCTGCTTTTAAAAGTGTGCGCATTCAAGAGAAATACAATGCGTCGTTAGAAAACAGTAAAAAAGCTACAAATGGTATGATTTTATAAAACAACTGAAACAAACTATTCGGCGAAAAGAACATATAGACATACATACACAAAACAACACGAAATTTAGAAGCTATTTGAATTTTTTCGAATCAATTCATTTAAATAATATCATTCTGGTAAGTTTTCCGTTTAGATCATTTGAAAAGAGTCAAATAAATGACTTTATTAGTCAGACATAGATCGTGTATATACGTCAGCGTCCAATCTTGGATCAGGCCAATCTCAAATTCGAATAGGCCAATGGGAGTTTGAATTGCAAATTACATTAGAGTACAGTGAAATATAATATATAACATTTTAATTTCATCAAAATAGAATACCACTTCTAAGTAAACAACATAAGAAAATTTTCAATAATTTTTAGAAAAAAACAGTATGAAAGTGTCTTAGGAATTTGATCATTCTATATTGGTACAGTGAGAATCGTTTTTGTGACATTTCATCGAACAAACAACATTATTCTTCTTACATCCACATTGTTTTGTTTAACAGGGTGTGAGTGTAGATGGGTGTGTATATTCTTCTCATTCATTACCCACACCCTCACGCACTCATCCACATTCACACCCACACTCGCCCACAAGCTATCTGACCAAACAGACCTTAGATTCCATTCCCAGCATCGGAGTAACCCTAGAAATGCGTTTTTCCCAATACTTGGTTTTTATTCGTTCTCATCTTCACTCACACCCACTCGCATATCCTCTATATTGTTCATCAAATATTCAGGCTTTGCCATAAAATCAAATGGAAGCAAACACGATACACATATATTGTGAAGAGTAAAAGTCGAAATAAAACTGAATAGATGAGTGAATAAAAATGTCAAACAAGTCTTTTATATGATGAATATATCTGTGATAGGTGAAGCTTAACGGCAAATGGTTGATTTTATGATTCTGAGATTTTGTTGATTCTACATGGTTTGAAAGATTCTAGTTATTCCAGAAGGTTCTATGATCTAGAAGCAGCTATGTTTTCCTTGGCGATTTCACTATTCAGAAGTAGTTGTTTTGAGTGGATGTGGATTGATCTTTTTTTATTCACACCCACCATCACAATATTTTCTCCGAATGCTGTAAACAATTTCTCTTTTGTTTTTCTATTATTGAATTAATCAAAAAATGCATCTACGATTGGCGTACACCGAACCCGAACGTTTATATTCGGCAGATCCAGCTCACGATTAAGTTCGATCTCAGATAGAGTTATTTTTGGTTAACGGGTAAAGAAAAATAAATATGAGACGAAACAAAGCGTTTCATAGATGATCTTAAACTCGAAACTATCTAATGTCTTTGATCTAAGTTACCAATTTTCGACAATACTCGAACCAAAACCTGACCAAATTTTACAGTATATCCATTTATTATTCGTATAGTCAATAAAATAGTAGAACAAGTATCGAAATATTCAACAGTACCTCAGCTCATTAAATACTAGGTTGGCGAATAAGTTCTGCAACAAAATCACTTAAAATTTTATGATAACGTGTTGCAGAACTTACTGGCCAACCTAATAGTTCCCAACCCAAACTTTAATACCGAACGCCAACTGGGATTCAAACGATTTTGTCCACAGTCAAACTGAAATTCAAATTCGCTGCATGTCTGATGTGCGTTCGCTCCTCTTTAAAAATAATAGCTGAAATACGAAGCGCAAT